TTTATATTATTTTTATCGAACAAACGATCGGGGAAAAATAAATTCGCGACGATCTTTCTTAACGAAACGCAGACTATCTACGAGTGTTTCTGTTTCGGTAAAGTATATCGCCCTAAGAAATCAATTCGGAATACGATTGATTTGTGATAAGTACGGTAGAATAGAAAAAAAAAAAAAAAACAAAAAGATAAGAAAAATAAAAAAAAAACAACAAGGAAAAACTAAAGAGAAATCTTATGCGTATTCTCATACGCAAAAACCTTCTTCTTAATATCCCTTAAAACATCATTAAGCCATGTGTGTTTCATAGACGAAGATTAATTAAATAAGATTAGATTAGATAGACGATAGATGATAAGAAATAAGAGTTCATAAAAAAGCACCACCCTTTTTCTTTTTTTTATTATTATTTTCTTATCGTTGTTTCGTCGTCGTCGTCGTCGTCTCTCTCTCTCTCTCTCTCTCTCTCTCTATTTCTCTCTCTCTTAAGCTCTAAGCATTGCACGCGCTCTTTATTTTTTTTGTTATTTTTTATTTATTTATTTGGGGACGGTTAAGATTCCGAAAATGAGATCCTGATTTACTGAGTCTTTAGTTTCGAAACGAAGAAATTATTCAATCATATTCTCGATCGTTAATATTAATAATCGAGAATTTTTTTGTCCAACAAAAATTTAATCTTCCGAGTGCTTATTTCTAAGTCATAGACTTAATATCATAACTATCTTTCTCTCTCTCTCTCTCTCTCTCTCTCTCTCTCTCTCTCTTTCTCATTCACACTCTCCCTTTCATTCCCTTTTTTTTTCTTTTATACATATTGCAAAAATAATAATAATAATAATAATAATAATAATAATAATAATAATAATAATAATAATAATTGTTTACTTTTAAAAGCCGAGCAACAAGCGATAAGCTTTCGAGAGAAAATAAATGTCGATATAGACGGGAGGAAAAATAAAAAAAAGGAAAGCATTACGAAATGAAAAAATTAAATCTATAAAAATATATATATTTATATAGACTTAGTTCTCTCTCTCTCTTACGTGAGAAACAAAGATTTGTTTCGTCGTACGCGAAAACTTACATACACTCGAATGTGTATAATCAATTGGATACTTTAATTACCGATTTCATATTTCATTTAATTATTATAGAATTATAATATATATTACAAAAGCCATCCCCCGACTCCCACCCTCGTCTTTCTTTTACACAGTCTTAAATTGGGCGAAACAATTTCGAAAATGAGAAAGCTTCGTAGAAAATATCCATATTTGTTGTTTTTTTTTACTTTCTTTCTTTTAATACAAAGGAGATTCGCGAATGATAATAATAATGAATTATTAAATCGATTAATATTGTACATTTATTTATCGGACACGCGATAATTTCTAAAAATGAATCGAGACAAAAATTCTTTTCACGTTTGTTTCTTCAATCTAAACAACATCGATATTAATTATCGTATAATCGAGAAATCCGTTAGGGGTGTCACCCACCACTTTCTGCTCCCCCTTCACCCCTCCTTCTTTTCTTAGACGAAAAATTAAAATCAAATGTAATAATGAAAAAAATAAAAGGGGAAAGACAAAAAGAAATGAAAAGGAGAAGATAGAGAAAAAAAAAAAAGAAAAGAAAAAAGAAATTAACGATAGTTGAATTATATTAACAAAAATCTTACGTAAGATCTCAATCGTCTCTACGCGTGTTCTTATAATTTAAAACGAATAAATCCTCATTATTATATTAATATTTACTGTCAAATTTATTGACGATAATAATAAGAGATGAACTTTTACACATTCGGGGGCCCGATTTATTTGAAAGAGCGTGAATTAATCTTCATCCTCTCCTGCATCTTCTTCTTCTTCTTCTTCTTCTTCTTCTTCTTCTTCTTCTTCTTCGTCTTCGTCTTCTTCTTTCTCCTCCACTTTTTTTTTTCTTCGATATTATTTATTTATTTATTTTATTTTATTTATTCTTTTTTCAATTATCTTTTTCCATGTCATTGTATTTAAATCAATTGTAATTAAAAAACGAACGATAGTATTTATTATTTATTAATATTATTAATATTATTATTATTATTATTATTATTATTATTATTATTATTATTATTATTATTTTCCTCCGTGTGTGTGTGATTATGCGTTCGTTAACAAAATTGCGCGGATTAAAATTCTTATTCTTTTTTTTCTTTTTTCCTTTTTTTTTTTCTCTCTCTCTCTCTCTCTCTCTCTTTCTTTTGATTCATATTTATAAAAGCAAAAATGTACAGGATTTCTATTTTAAAAATTAAAAGATTCAATATTATTTCATAAATGCATACAATCATTTATCTTACAATCTTTCTATCACGCGCACACTCACGCACGCACACACACTCGCGCTTTCAAACATTCCCTGTCTCTTTTTCCTCGCTCTTTCTTTTCTATGATCGAATAACGCTTTTTCTCGCGAAAGAATAAGAATTATAATTAAAAGAAAAAAGAAAAAAAAAAAAGAAAAGTAAGGACGTCAGCCTGAAAAACAAACAAAATATTGTTCGAGTTTGTGATCGGCAACGAGAAATGAAATGAAATGAAATGATATGAAATGAAATGATTTAATTTAGCCGCCAAATTTGCTCGAATCAAATTTGTTATTGTTTTTGCTTTTATTCAATTCGTTTCCTTCGTCCCATGTCGGTGTTCTTCTTTATCATACTTTCTTTTTTTCGTTTTTTTAATTACTTTGTTTTCAATTTTTTAAAAATACTAACAATGCGCGACTAAATGACCTAAGATATGATCAATCACATATTCAAACACACGTGATTACATCTGGTATCTTAAATATTCGAAGATTCGCTCATGAAAATTACATTATACATATTTCTAAATGGTGTTCGAGAGTTTGATTTAAATGATTAACTCAAGTCCGCAGTATATGTATGTGTTTATATATATATGTATGTATGTATGTATTTATTTGTATCTGTTGTGTGAGTGTATGTGTATGTGTGATGTATTTGATCGCCAAGTATCAAGTGATTTTTATAATTTTCCATCTTCGTTATCGTCGTTTGTTGTCATCGTACAGTCCCAAAATTGTTTTGTATATTTGTGTATTTGTATCTGTATTTTAGTCTATATAAATGTATAAAAAAGATTAATTATATATATCTCGGAGGAAAGAAATTCATATTATTGACACCTGCCTCCGGTCTTACGTCTAACATCACAGCTGCCTCTTCTTTTGTTCTTTTGCTTCTCTGCATTCGATTTTATATGAATTATTTATTTACTCATCTTGCACGGCTTTTTTTTTTCTATTTTTTTTCTTTTCTTTTTTTTTCTGTTTTATTATAATTCGAAAAAGTACATTTCTTATTAACGAGCTGATTATATTCGGCGAATATTAACTTTGTCTTTCTTCGCTTTATATCTTTTTCTTTCTATCTGTGTCTGTCATGTCAAAAGTCAATCGAATTGTACGACTTCAAAAGTCCGACATTTTTATTAAACGGGGACGAAGAAAACGAATATAGAACGTTTTCCGATCTCGCGGCCACACTTTTATTTCATAACCACGAGGAGGAACCCCGATATGATTTATTTTCTTACCGTCATACAACAAACAAATCATTGAAATATTATTTTGTATAGACACATTTTTTACGCTTTCGTTTCATCGAGAATACGCGAGTCGATTTTTGTTAATTAAGTTTTATTTCTAAGCTTGTTTGTATAAAAACGATACCATTTTGAATAGACCAAAGACGAGTTTGTGTACGCATGTTTATATGTGTGTGTATTTGTGTGTGTGTTTAAGTGTATGCATATATTTATGTGTGTTTTCTGTGCATAAAGCAAACTATATATCATGGGACAACATGAATTCTGAATAAATACTTAATATTACAACAAAATCTCTTAAATATTCTTTTATAATGTCACCGTTATATTGTTTGTAAGAAAATAAGATACTTTACTTGAAATTTTTATATACACATATTACAAACAACGTTTCTTTTTTATTTCTTAAACTCTTCCTCCTCCTCCTTCTCCTTCTCCACCCACTACTCCACCCACTCCTCCACCTCCTTCTCCTCCTCCTCCTCCTCATTCTCTTCTGCTTTCTCACACCTTTTTTTATATAATGCATAGGCAATGCGTTTTACTACACACTTCTATTATACATGCTGTGGAGCAAGTCTAACAGGTCCGCCCTATATATTTTATTTTATTTTATTTTATTTTATTTTATTTTATTTTATTTTATTTTATTTTATTTTATTTTATTTTATTTTATTATACTTTATATTATTTTATTTAATTGTATTATTTTTTACCCGCCCATATTTTACCCCCCCCCCTTTATAGATCTTACGCGTTGTTCCATTATTTTGAATTCGATCAAAAACAAAAAAAAAGGAAAGCGTCGTGTAAAGTTTATGATATAAACGTTACACGTTTATTTTTTCTTTTTCTTTTTTTTTCTTTTTTAAATCACTACATAAAAGCTCTCCCACTTATTTAACTCATCTTTTGTATCGAGCGCTGATCGATATTCTTTCTTACACTTATTGTATTAATATTATTATTATTTATTATTATTATTATTAGATTATTATTATTATTATTATTATTATTATTAATCATTATTAATTATTTAATATTATTATTAATATTATTATTTTTTATTTTTTTGTTTCTTTTTCATGTTTTAAATCCAACATTCGTATCTAAACGTTGTGTGTGTTTCCTTTTTTATTATTACTTTATTGTAATATTTACAGTGAAATTTTGTTCGGATGCAATGTTTTTTTTTTTTTATCATTATCCATTTTTTTCATTCCTTTATATCATTCGTTCGTTCCTTTCTTCCTTCCTTTCATCTATCTAACCATTGTTTTTTTCTTTTTCTTAATTTGTTTAGCGCGTCATTGTACTTAGATACTCGACAGGGAACTTGGTTCGGTGTGCTATGGACGTTTCTCGAATGATCAGTAATGATCAGTAATGATCAATAATGATCGATAATGATCTCTATCGTTCTCTAGGCAACGTTACGAGATCCACCGACAAAAAACCGAATTGAATTCCAAGTTCGAATGAACCAGTCATTGATTTTGCATTTTAATTTTATACGAAAAGAAACAAAAAAAAAAAAAAAAAAAGAAATGAAAAATAATATATATTTATATATACACACGAGATATATATATACGACATATGTATATAAAAAAGAAAAAAAAAGAAAAAAGAAATTAAAAAGTAAACCAAGTTCCTCTTATTTGTTTGTTAATTTTCTTTTCGATTGAGTTTGTTAACGAATCAATTTGTATGTAACGACACTAGACTCTTACCTCCCTCCCCCTCCCCCCCTACTCCTGCCCCACGTAGATTCGAGAATACGAAAAAGATTTATAAAATTTAAAGTAAAGAAAAAAAAATATACACTTATATAAAATAGATCACAAAAAAAGAAAAAAAGAAAATAAGAAGTAATTTATATACAACTTGTAGAATAATTAAAAACGACTAAGAGTGTGCTTCATAAAATTATACTCGCTTGCATCGAAGATTTTCCTCACACGCATAACCGCAGCACCACCATCTCATTCTTT